ATCTAACCAATTCATAACACTCAATTTAATTAATCTCATTAGCTTGTCGTTTTTGCTCCAATTAAATTAACTTAATAATCGTTGAATCAAATGAGATACAATGCCAAATTTTATTTCAAACACAAACACTAATAACTAACTTAAATCAACTGGATAGTTGTCTTGTGAGGCTTATTTTATACCATTAGTACTTTAAAATCAAGTGTCATTGATACGTATATTACTCAGGGACATTTTTTTTTTTTAACAAGTACCATTAGTAATTTAAAATTAAGTGTCGTTGATACTTATATTAATCGGGAACATTTTTGTTTTGACAAGTACCATTAGTATTTTAAAATCAACTAAGTGATACTATTTTATACCATTAATATTTTATACGAGTAATCAATTAAGATAGTCGTAAAATCAACTAAGATAGTTGATATCTCGACATCTATTAAATTAAAGTCGCTCACACATATCTTCTCCTTTATTATAAATACGAACACCTCTTTTCCCTCACTCTTTCACTCTCTCTATCCCCTCTCTCTACAAAATGAAGAGTAACTTCATTTCAAGTATTCTTCTTCTTCTCCTTCTTGTGGCAAATGTTGTTATCCTCGTAGCGAACGCGGGCGACGCCCAGGAGTTATCGAGTGCGGTACAACGGCACAGGAATCGCAAGCCGCTGAAGAGAAGAGGGCGGAGAAACGGTTGTAACATCTTCAAAGGAAGTTGGGTTTATGATAGATCATACCCATTGTATGATGCAAATAGTTGTCCATTTATTGGAGACGGATTTAATTGCCAAAAGAATGGAAGACCTGATAAAGATTATCTTAAGTATAGATGGCAGCCTTCTGGTTGTAATATTCAAAGGTAATTAACTTTCCTTCAATCGTTGTTCTGTTTTTATTTTAATAATAGTAATTAATTATAGTGACATTAATTATTAATGGTAATGTGGTTAGTTTATAAAACACAATTTGCATGACATTTTAGTTGGTTATAATGTACCCGTTATAATAAGTTTGGTGATAAAGACGATTGTTTAATTGAAACGTTGGTTCTGTTCGGAATTTATAGTCACATGATTCCGGGCGGAGTGAATATGAGATATGAGATCGGTGTAGATCGTGGACAGAGTGGGTTTGTTGGTGTTGAGAAATTAGGAGGATGGGCGGGAGGATGGAGAAATATGACTGTTGTACTTAAATATAATAAAAAATAAAAATATAATAAATAAATAAAAAATAACCGTCTTACGGTAAACGGGAAGTAATAGTGGGCCCTACACGTGAATACCAACACATTCACCCCATTTCAAGGTTTTGGTAGCTGTTTTTTGGGAGCCTCTGCACCATATTGTGCTTTGGTGAATGATGAGTGATACAACTAGGAGTAGTGTGTTTGTTTTAAGTTTTAATTATATGAGTAACTAGTTGACTCATTACATGAAATGCTCCGAGTCATTACATGAAATTAATGGATATATGTTTATTTTATAAGTTATGGAGTATGGAGTAATATTTTCTTTGATTGAGTTTTATTTTTATATAGTCGTTCACTATTTATTGATATTTTGTTTATAAGAGAGAATATAAATTATTGCTCCTTTATTTTGAAGGAGCATAACATAGCTGAACTTGATGTTTTATGTTCATGAAGTTTTATATAGATAGAATGATTTACCGTCCTTACCTGGATGCTCTTAAACTTCCCATTGTTCCATCACTTAAATGCTCCCACTTTGGTCACAAGCTTGCATTACCAAGCTCAACTATATAGATATAGATTATCAACGAAATATTCTCTCCGTACGTTAATACAATGTCTCTTTTGAGCATTTATTCCTCACATGTGAAAAAAGTATTAAAAATATGAATATTTATTGTAATAGTTTTATACTCCATACTACATATATGCTATAGTTATTGAGGTCAGTTTACGTTTATGTTGGTATAAGTTTCTGAATCCGTTTACAATAAATAATTAGTTATTTGATTAAATAATTTTTTGTTTTTATTTTTTTTGGGAAATGAGTCAAATATTGAGGAATAATGGTAGTTTCAAGTTTCAACTTTATTTGACGAATATATTCAGGGGCCGTTTAGTTAGGGGTAATCATCAAAGGGAAAGGGAATCAATCACCCTGATTCCCTTTGTTGCTGTTTGTTAGTTCTTTTTTTTCATTCCCTTTCCCCCTTCAATTCCCCCAAATCCTTCTAAGTCCATTCCCCACCCCCTAGGTATTCCCATTCCCTACCACCACCACATCACCACCTTCCTACCTACCATACCACCGGAAAACCAAATCACCGTCCTACCTGACCCTCACCGCCCCTCCCCCGACCCTCGCCAACTCTCCCCTGCATCGAAATCGTCGATTTGTTCGCACGTAGCCGATCCTCGATAAATTTCATCGTTGCCCCTTTCGCACCTCCCTCAACCCTCGTCGGAGGTTATCGCACCTCAAACGACGAGGGAGAATGGTTTCTAGGGTTTATTCGGGGTTGAGGGTAATTTTTCGGGGTTGAGGGAGGTTTTGCAAGGGGCGGGGACAACCGACGAAGGGGGAGGGAGGTGCGGTGAGTGGTTTGGTGGCTGGAAACGATGGAGAGTGAAGGTTTGAGGTGGATGTGTGGTGGTGGTGTGGTGGTGGGACCGGTGGTCCTCATTCCCCTTGTTTTTAAGACCAAACAATATAGAAAATTTTGGATATCTTCATTCCATTCCTTGTCTTTCCCTTTGTTCATTCCATTCCGATTACCCCGTGTGAACTAAACGGCCCAAGGCTTTATTTAGTCAGAGGAGTATTTAACGTTTGCTAGTTTGAGACTATTAAATACGATCCGTAATTGTTCATTGACACTCCGTATTTTATATGATACGACGTAATTGTATTTTTCTACGGTTACTTGTCGGGTAGAATTTTTAGGTATTTGAAAATAACAAATTATTCATTTTTACGGATTAATAGATAATTATAAGTATGGTATACAATAGAAAAATTGTTAGTCAAGAATTACTCTTTGTAGAGGCTTAGAAAAGATGTTACAATTACATTTGGTTTTTTTTTTTAAAAAAAAAAAAAAAAGGAAAAAAAAAAATCCTTAGGCTCCTCAATCCTTACGGTTTTTTCACTCCTAAAAAATTACATTGATTATGTCGTATGAATTTTGCTACCCGGCATTTTAATGAAATGGGGTACTTATTATTATTATTATTATTATTATTATTATTATTATTATTATTATTATTATTATTATAAATAATGTCTAAAAAAAAAAACTTTAGATATTTGATTTATTGCAATGTGGAAATTTTGTGAATATATTGGAAATTTTTTGTGAACAGATTCGATGGACGTGCTTTATTAGAGAAATGGAGGGGAAAAAAGGTTATGTTTGTTGGAGAATCATTAAGCTTCAATCAATGGGAATCACTTACATGCATGCTTCATAGCGCGGTGCCTCTATCCAAGTACACCGTTGTCACTAGAGGTTCTCTCTCTGTTTTCTCTTTTCCGGTAAGCTATCTCATCCATTTACACTCTTCCCAACATTTACGGTCCATTTGCTAGGCGGTAATTACTCAATTTGTTAGTACAAAGTTATTTTGTATTTCTTCTAAATTACGTATATGTGGTGGATTATGTGTTAGGGAGTACTTTTTTTCCTTTTTTTAGACATATGTACGAAGCTTAAAAATTATATATAATTGGATGATCATTAAGTATTTTCAATTTGTTAGTATTTTCATATATACTACTTTACATGTTTTATAATAAGCTTAACACTTCTTTGTTCTTGTACGTACTTTATATATAATTACATTAGGCTTATACGGAGTACATGACATTATAAAATAAGATCTGTTTATTTATTTTGAATAGGAATATGATACTTCAATAATGATGTTGAAAAATGGATTTTTGGTGGACGTTGTGACTGAAAAATTTGGACGAGTACTCAAGCTGGATTCTATTAGTTCCGGCTCTACTTGGTTATGGGCTGATGTACTTATTTTCAATTCCTACCACTGGTGGACTCACAGGTACATTATCATTATATTTATTATTATCATTACGAGTACTATATGTCTATATTTATTACGGCATCCTACTCCGTAACATGAAAGACAAAGTACTTGTTACGGCGTTGCAGAAATGCAATATATTTTTAAACTTTATGTCGATGGCTTAAATTAAGTGTACAACATTTGATGCAGATGGGAATACTTCATGACGGGAGGCAAGATTATCAAAAACATGGACCATATGAAAGCGTACAATATTGCATTGAGAACATGGGCTAAATGGGTTGATGCTAACATTGACCCTAGAAAGACTCAAGTTTTCTTCCAAGGAGTTTCAGCTGCTCATCTTAAGTAAGTTCTTTTAGATACACCCTGTTCGCTAATTAGCTTGGTTGAATACACCTGATGCTCACAAATTCTTTTTTCTTTTCCGGTTCTTTTGGTGTGTTACTTGGGTTTTGCGGGTCCAGTGGAAGCGAATGGGGAGAACCAAGAGCAAAGTTTTGTCGCAAAGAGACTAGACCGTTGTTAGGATCAGTGTATCCAGGTGGTAGTCATCCGGGTGAATTGATTGTGAGGAAGGTATTGAGTAAAATGAAGATGCCTGTTCATTTGCTCGACATAACCCTTCTCACTCAGTTAAGAAAAGACGGACACCCAGCAATTTACGCCGGTGGTGGTCCTAAATTACTTGATTGTAGTCATTGGTGTCTTCCTGGTGTTTCAGATACTTGGAACCAACTTTTGTATTCAATTTTGTTCCGACAGTGAATTCAACAAACAAAAACAATGAATTTTATTTTTTAAACAGCAACTGTCACTTTTTGTTGATTTTTTTTCTTCACCAGCAAAGAGTTATATTAAACACTATTAAAACACAGGAGCTCGTTGTCAAAAAAATATAAAAATAAAATTAAAATAAACACAAGAGCTGAAGAGCCGCTTCGGAAAAAAAACATTAATACACCTTTAAAAGATACAGAGATTCATCTGGTCTAACAAATGTGAGTTTGTTTACAGAACTGAAATACAAAATGGTAAAATTATCTACCAGCTATAACCTACTGAAAGAACTTGATTTTCAATCTACAAAACAAGATGCATAATTGTGTTAAAACTTTGGCAAGATCAATGAGTTGCTTAACAAATTTATTTCGACACACGGATTCTCTTGTCTCAAAGAGGAAGATCAATCGGTTGCTGAGCTTGGTGAGGATGGTCTGGTCCTTTGTACACTTCGAGGTGATTGAACAAATACCGGCGAAGCTGTAAATAATTTTTTAATTAAATTATAAGAGGGTAACAATTAAATAGGCAACACCATCAATCAGAAAGCATAGAAACAGAAGAAATTTCATTCAGAGATCCACATGGAATCTAGCACTTCCTTTGTTTTCTTGCTCTATTTTATTTTCCCAAGGGTCAGTGTGGGTGTAGAATTGTACTTTCTTAATGTATGCACGGAAGCCCGAACACATGGGCTGAAGTAAGACAACGTATAGACTCTTCAGCTGTGTGGGAGGCGGCTCAAGGTCGTGAGACAAGTAAAAAAGATACGGTGTCTAAGAATATTTTGCATTTTTTGTACTTCTTTTACTAATGATAGTCTATTGTGCACTTTGCGTAGAAAGTTCAAGGCTCAGGTTTCCAAGAACTTTGATAAAAAAAATTGAATCATATTCAGAAACCATGAGGCTGGAAATTAAGTTTTAACTTGCTGATATAGCATGTTAAATATCACTTTTAAGAATAATTTTTAAAGGGTTTTTCTCGTTTTTGGGAAGTCAAATGCAGTAACTTGCAGAAACCTCTAATGTGGCCTATTTGGGGGAAATTAATTACAGTGAGTAAGGAGGATTTCTAAATAAATTGAGGGAAATAAAAAATGCAAGATGAAATTTAAGTTCATAGAATCTGAAACCTACTGGAAATTTCAAGTCTGGCAGTTTGCTGTTGTTTAAAGCATAAACAAATATCCAGACAAGCAGAGCTTCTACAATAGGTTATAATTGGAGTATTAAGGCGATTTAAAGATTCCTCAGATTGGGGCAGTTTCACAGTGCTCATATAGGTTGAGGTCTCTCTTGTTAAAAAGCTCATTTTTCCACCCGCCACAACATCTCAACTGATCTACTTAAAAAAAATGCATCCTTGATGCGGCAGAATCACGGAACTGGATGTACTTAAATCATTTTATAATTGGAAAACATTGCCTACGTAATTGCACAGAAAATACACAACTCTTTTTCTGTAATCAATCAATATGCAACACATTTTCCTTCATGTCACACACACACACACTCAGCTGCTCTCCAGAAAATCTGCTTTAATACATAGCACGGCTTTACTTTGCTATTGGTGTTAGACATAGGTACACACCCAACATCCAAGTCATAAATTTGGCTATATTTAACATACTGAGGTCTGAGGTGTCAAGGATCCTACAAGGTGTTTTGAGATGATGAAGAGCCTGAATAACATAGGTCAAAGAAAATTATGCAATTTTCATAGAGGTGGTATATAATTACATGCATGTTGGGTAAAAGTGTTTTTGTATGATTCGGTCTATTTAAACCATTATATCCAACTACCTAGTGTTTTGTCAGCTGTCGATTATTAGCAGGCAGAATTAAACTATATCATAAGTAAAATGAAGATACAGCCGAAATCACTTACCCTTCCTTTAGGAAGCATGCCACGAACAGCATGCTCAACAATTCTTTCAGGAATTCTTTTCTGAAGTTGGTCAAAAGTTTCCTCTTTCAGACCACCTGGCCTTCCTGAATGCCTCCTGTATAATTTCTGTGTCCTCTTTTTACCCGATACAGCAATCTTATCAGCATTTACCTGTAGTTTTTCAAGTAGAGTGAAAGCCAATTAGCTGGTAGATACTTCATGCCTATACTGCATGTATGTGAGTAGCAAAACCTATATGAGCCTTAATATGACCAGATCTAGTATGCAAAAAGTGGTGAAGTAGCACAAATGACCTGAATCAGCATCTGGAAATAATTATCTCTTGTCCACTTTATTATATGACTAATACTCACTGCAGTTTGAATTTTGTCTAGTATAGATTGCCTGATAAAGAGAGTTTCTTGTACTTCAATATCTTGTAAGCATCCAAATTCCCAATAGTTCAAGCTTATTGTTGTTACGCACATTTAAATGAAACCTAGTCATTTATAACAAACAAAAATATCTGAATTTCACTGCCCTTTATATTATTAATGTTTTGCTAGGCAGGGAACAGGTGTGCCTAGGTGCTGAGAAGAGCAATGCTCCTCTTTTTTTTTTTTGTAAGAGAGGCAATTTTGATGAGGTGAACACTTTCTTTTAAAACACCAAGAAAACATTGATTTATTATTAACATCGCCTCACTTCAATGAGGCATGCGTAAGGCACAGAAACCCCCCCCCCCCATCACCATGATGCACCCTGAGCCTATTATGCATTGGCAAGGAAAGGCAAGCTTTTGGAGCAGGGTCCGTCACCGTCTCACTAATCACTAACAATCTATAAGTAAGGACCAAAGCTGTTTACCTGGCTAATAACAGTTTTGAAAATCCAAGATCCACTCAATCAAATTAAGAAAGTTTGCCAGTGCATATCAAAAGAACAAAGAATACCGTAGTTCCTGCTTACCCAACACTTATCATAGTTCTATGGTTCTACCTACTTCCTGTTAGTGAGAAAGTTATTTCCCTGAACATCCCCTTTCACTTCTATAAGCACTAATAAAGAGTTAAGGAACAGTTATGTTACATAGATGAAGATACAATGTCAACATTCAAGCATCGGAGAAAAGCTATAGTACTTTATAAGTATATAACAAAAAATTTAACATCCACAAACTCTCATCTTTAAGCTTCAATACTCAAGAGAAAACAAGCTGCATGATGTATCAAAAACTTTCTGCTAGTTTCCAACGTTAAGGAAAATAGACAACAATTTTTAAAATATGAGGTTTTGCCCTTTTTTTTTTTTTTTTGAGGAAAAATATGAGGTTTTGCCTTCTTTCCTTTTAAATTGTAATTTACGTCGGTCAGCCCCGCAGGTATGAGAGGAACTAATGAACGCATGTAACATAGCTATGTAAAGGAGGATGCAAGAGACAAGGCCACATGGTTTATAATAAGCCTAAACTTCAGAGAAATAACATACCACAATTACAAAGGCTCCCATGTCAACAGTTGGAGTAAAGGAAGCCACATTCTTCCCACGAATATGAACTGCTATAATCGACGCCAGCCTCCCAAGAATCAGATCTGTGGCATCAACAACATACCATGTCTTGTCGGTAGGGACATGGTCAGCAGCTTTAGGATACCACAATTACAAGGGCTCCCATGTCAACACTTGGAGTAAAGGAAGCCACATTCTTCCCACGAATATGAACTGCTATAATCGACGCCAGACTCCCAAGAATCAGATCGTGGCATCAACAACATACCATGTCTTGTCGGTAGGGACGTGGTCAGCAGCTTTAGGATACCAAGTTTTGTTCCAAATATCCTGGAAGCAGAGAAAAAAATAAATAAGCGTGAGTAAAACAAATTGATTTACAAAGTTTTTTTTAACCAAATGATAAGATTATCAGCCACATGAAAATAGTATGAGTTGCTTGATTGCGAGGACAAGGTGCAAGTTAGACATTTCTCCACATAAAATGATTATGTGCAAAATGTGGTATATATATATATATATATATATATATATATATATATATATATATATATATATATATATATATATATATAGTATGCATGCACATTCACACTCGACCAAGGCTTCTATTCAAATTCAATCTTAACAAAGTGAAAAACAGCACAGTTCTTTCTGGGTTTGGCAGGCTGCAATTTCAATTCAAAGGCCTGTTTCTTCAGGAAAATTTTCTTCTGTCAATTTTATCACTGACTAAGAATTGCAATTAGGAATAGCTATTAAAAAAAAAGAGAGAGAGAGAGAGACTAGCTTTATAATTCGTTAAATATTTTGCTGATGAAGTAACATTCCACCATGTAAAGATATTAAAACCATTTGTATCAATAAAAATGAAAAGCCTAAATCTTCCTAGTGAAATCTAATGCCATAATTATACCACAAAAACTCCCTGCTAAGAGTATCCAATAACTCTACCTACACAAAGAACTTACAATATGATTGATGTAACTATTGACATTGGGCTAATTATTTCAACTCAGTTTTATTTCCAGCTTTTTCTATACTCATTTTTGTTGGCTTTCCCAATTTTTTTCTTCTCTCTAAACTAGGAATTCAAATAACGAAAACATATTTGCATAAATCAGTTTCTGTGACATTGTAATTAAACACTTAAAATAGCTTTAACCACCCAATCCATTACAGAATTATACTCAACAACCCAAAATGCCAACACAAAACATAATCAACATATTTGTAGCCCAAATTCATGCCCAAATTTCACCAAAAAAGCCTTATTAAGCTAATTATAATTCCAGTCAATAATTAGCCTCAATCTTCAACAACCTACATCAGAATTCCCTAAAATATGACTCCCACTACACCAAAAACAAGCATAATTGGAGTTTATCAAACCACAACACATTCAATTTATTAATTAACAAAAAATAAATAACAAATGTCAATGCGTGATTTTGTCCTGAATTCCGAAACTTAAAACCCCATTACGAAATACAGTTAGCCCTTGAGGTTGCATATATCACGACCAATAAAATCAATAACTGAGAAGTCACCCATACAACAATAAACTATTAGACATTGCAGAAATTGTAAGGAGGAGAGAGAAAGAGAGTTACAGGGCCAGCAGCTTCATCAAGAGTAAACATCCAGCGTTCGGCTAAAGGAACATGAGGTATAGCAAGCTCTTTCTTCACTCCCTTTTTGATTTGACGCCATTGCTCAGTACATGACTTAGAGGATGCTTGAGGAGTTGAGGGCTGACAATTGCTGTTGTCTTGGTTAAGCCAGGAAACCTGAAAACTGGAGTTTGCTTTAATTGGGTTCCGAAGATGGATTTCTGGGTTTGTGTTGATGGAAATGTTAGGGATGAAGCGCAGGCCATTGCCGCCATTGTTGTATGTGTCTCCGAGCTCAGAGAGAGAATGAGGGGGCCAAGAATTGGATAAGATGACACTCAATAGTGCACACTCGCAAGGTAATGAAACTAGGATTTTGAAGATAGGGGGGAGATGGAATAAAACCCCCAATTCGATTTCAGCCGATTTAGGTTCGTGGTTGGTTTGGGTTTCAATCCGGATTAAAAAGGTTCCGCATATTCTTAGGTGCACACTCATGCACCTAGAAATAGGTGTAACAATAGCACAATATGATTATTAGCTTTTCAAAAATTGAACATTAGCTTTCTTCTCCTCTATTTTTCTCCTTCGTTTTTTATTTTCTCTCTCCTCTGGTTTTTTTTTTAATTTCCCCTTTTTTTACACTTTTTGATTGAATTTGTTTTTTACAACATGAAAGTAGTTATTAAGTATGATTTTTTGTGTGAATTTCGATTTTGTGCTTTAATTTCGATAGATTAAGGTTTATATAAATCTTTCAATTCACAAATTATACTCTGTTTTTCTCCTTCCTTCTTTAATTCCTTTTTCCCTATTTTTCTTGTTTTTTTTACGATTTAACGATTGAATTTGTTCTTTAGAATATGAAATGGTTGCTTATCTGATTTTTTTGAATTCATATGAATTGAACTTTTTTTTAGCTACGATCAATTTCATATGTGTATGAATTTCATCTGATTTTCTGCATTTTTTTTTATCAATGAACATAGGGCATGTTCGACAAAATATAGTTGTGAAGGTAGCTGTAGTTGTAGAGATAGATGTGAGATGTGGAGATAGCTGTTAGCTGTCAACAAGCTGTTAGCTGTGAAAAAAAAATAATTTAGGTATGATTGTTCCATAAAGTAGTGGTTGACTAGCTGTTACATTTAAGAATCAATATTTTATTTTTAAAACTATACATTAAATTTTCAAAAGCTACCTCTAATTTCAAAAGCTAATAATCCTAACTTTTAATAAAAGTTACCTCCACCACTAAAAGCTACTTGAACCATTACTTTGCCAAACACTCACATTTTTTGTTGAGTAATGGTTTGACTTGGTCAAATCACTAAAGTCAAACCACTAAAAGCTACCTAAAAACTACTCAAAAGCTAGCGCCGAACACGCTCATAATCATGCAAATATATGAACATATGCATAAGTTCCCTTAAATGCGAACATTAGCTTTTCAGAAAGTGAACATAGGCATAAAAAATATGAACATATGCATTTTAGAAAGTAAACATAACAATTCAAAATATGAACGTAAGCATTGGTTTTCTTAAAGTGAATATAACCATTTAAAAGGTGAACATATGCGTAAAAAATATGAACATATGCATTTAAGAAAGAGAATATATGCATAAACAGACTTACTGAGAATATTTATGAACAACAAATATTTACTATGAATATTTACATTATGAACATATAAAATATTAATATAAATATAAGGCATTTAATTATGAACATAAAAAATTGAAGAAATAAAAAAATAATATGATTATGAAACATATGCAACATAAGTATTAAAAATATGAACAAATGCATTCAAAATATGAACATATGCATTGGTTCATTTTTGAATGTGTATGAACATAATTAAGCATTTTAAAAGGTGAACATATACTTAAAACAATATGAACATATGGATTTAGAAAGTGAATATATGCGTTTCAGAAAGTTTACAAAAGGATTCAAAATATGAACATAAGAATTCAAAATATGAATATGAGCATTTTAGAATGTGAACATAAGGTATCCGTTTGATTTCACTAATTTTTTTTTTTTGACAATTCCAATAAAAAATTTCGAACAATAGAGTATTGAACAATATTAAAACAAAATTAAGTGATAATCATATAAATTCAAACAAAATTAAGTGAAATTTACATAAAATTGCCTTTTCTTTAGGAGGATCCTTTTGATTTTGCATCTCTTCTCTAATGTCCATTGATGTTTTTGTAATTTTTTGATGAGAGAAAATGAAATAGAGGAGAGAGAAAGTGAAAAAGAGGAGAGAGAAAATCATATAGAAGAAAAGTTTTGACTTTGGAAGTGACGTTACATTTATTGGATGTGGGTGGGTGTATTGGGTGTGGGTGGGTGGGTGTATTGCAGTTTTCATGTTTTTTTAGTTTTAGGGCTTTTTTTTTAATTGGGTTGTGTGTAATTGGGCTTTTGGGCTTTTGGGCTGCGTTGTTACACCTATCTAAGGTGCACAAGGGTGCACCTTAGACTAATTCAAAAGGTTCAGAAGTTTTAGGTATTTCAATAGGTCTACTATAGACCCTAATTCATATAGAATAGGTGGGCCACTAACCCAAATACAATCCACAACACAAATACAATACAAATAACGCGGCCCAAACTCTCGTTTCTTTTTCTACTTTAACAAAACTGACAAAAGATTAAATATGAACATTTACTCTTTCAAATGCTGAAAAACTCTCGTTTCTCTCTCCTCTACAAATTCGAGAATAGCCATGGATGAAAAGCAAGTTACCAATGCAGAAAAGTAAATAAAATTTCTGAACCTAAAATTTATTTAAATTATTTTAAATTTGCAATTAACCATTAATTAAATTTCTTCATTAGTTAAATTTTTGCAATTTGTATATAATTTTAAAACATTTTTCACATTTTTTAGAGACCCAACAAATTATTCTACAAGTAGAGATGAAGATGAATTGTTAAAGCTAATCCGATCGATTTCAAGGCGTGCAGTGGTAATTGCGATTGTTCGGATATTTTTTATGTTCAAAATTTTTAATGTTTAGTTCGGATTTTTTTACTAAATGTTCAAAATTTGCAATAGTCCAGATTTTTTTATCAAATGTTCAAAAGTATAGGCGTGGTAAATTGCAAAAATTTTTTTAGATATTTTTACCAATAGATGTTTAAAATTTTCGATGTTCAGTTCGGATTTTTTTTACTAAATGTTCAAAATTTGCAATCGTTCAGATTTGTTCACTAAATTTTCAAAAGTATAGGCGTGGTACATTGCAATTGTTCAGATACTTTTACTAAATGTTCAAAATTTTTGATCTTCAGTTCAGATTTTTTTACTAAATGTTCAAAATTTGCAATCGTTAATATTTTTTTTACTAAATGTTCAAAATTATAGGCGCGGTACTTTGCAATTGTTCAAATATTTTTACTAAATATTCAAAAAATTTGATGTTTGGTTCGGATTTTTTTACTAAAAGTTCAAAATTTGCAATCGTTCAGATTTTTTTACCAAATGTTCAAAAGTATAGACGTGGTACATATAACTAATTTTGAAACAATCAATTAATAAAATTCATACAAATTAATAAGAATGATCAAATTAATGAGAACAATCAAATATATCAATTAATCGATGATAATAGCTTGAAATCGATCATAATCCGTTGAAATTGATAAGTTTAGCTTCAAGAATTTCAAATAAATTTAAAACAAGGATTAAATCCATAAATTCATCTCAAAAACAAAAACTAAATCAATATTGATCACAATGAATTCAAAATAACTAACCTTAATTGATCCCTTTGGGAATTTCGACGATTTTCATCACATTAAATGCAGCAAATCAATGGAAAATATTAAGAAAAAAAATAAAGAATAGAGGAGAGAGAAGAATAAGAATTTGTAAAAAAGGATTATAATAGAGAAAGAAATTAAAAGAATTAGATTAAATTTCTTTAAAAAAAAAATTAAAAAGGGGGGGAAAAAAAAGAAGCAGCTAAAATGGCGGGATGAGGAGAAGAAAGTGAAGCTGCATATTATAGAGTGGGCCGCGTGAAATTGAGTGGTCCATATAGAATAGATAGACCAAAGTCCATAGAAGAATTTGTATTAGGTATTTCTCTAGGAAAATTTGTTAATTACAATATGTTAAATTAGAATATATAATCTGAGGATTACATAAATTTTATTTAATTTTTGCAAATTACAATAAAAAAAAGTCACGCAATTAAAATTCAATTTTCAGCCACTTTCACCGGAATATGACATAATTAATCATTTAATGATATAAAAAATAACCCCAATTCAATTTTAGCCCAATTCAATTTTAGCCGAGAAGAGTGAGGGATATTTCAAATGGTTAGAGTTTTTCGCTCGATTTCAAAAGATATGTTTGTATCGCATCCGTGCCCTTGTGGCTATCTAAACACCAAAAAATTCAGCTGGGAAGGATTAAAGAGTTGCCAATTTGGGTTCGTGATTGGGTTCAAATTGGTTTGAGTTTCATTCCCAATTAGAAAGGTTCAAAAAGTTTTTAGCATTCAAAGTATGAGTTAAGAGCATTTCCAAAAAATGAGCAAAAATTAGTTTCCTCATTCTCTCTCTACCCACTTTCTCTCTCTTCCAACCCATCAGCATTTTTGTGATCATAATTTTATCCCACCAATGATCAAAAAAAATTTTCTTCCCTATTTTCTCTCTCTACTACATCTTCTCTCTTACTTTTAGTAATACCCTCTTATATTTCTCTCTACTATATTATTTTTAATTCTTTTTTTTACTTGCATTGTGGACCCCACATGATTACTATTCTTCTTAAAAAATGCTCATCCTGTGAGCAATTTTCATTTTGCTCATGAGCATTTTTACTTTTGCTCATTGATATAAGTCATTTTTGTTTTAATTTCACCCAAAGTTTTGCTCATGAGCATTTTTTTTGCTCATTGTTGGGAATGCTCTTAAGATGACACTTATGTTTTAAGTTTTTGATTCTTTGAACGTTTGGGTATTATGGCGGAAAATTTGCTAATTGCAGTCATTTAAAGTTTGTATTTTGCAAATTGCAGCCATTTTTAAAAATTTGCAAATTGTAGCTTAAAAGTTATTTTAAATTGTAAATTACATTATGTTTTAACTTTTTCATCGGTATACGTGTCGAAAAATATTTGGTTAAGGTTGGGCTTAAGGGATCTTAATGAGCTCGGAATTAGCAAAAAAATAACATAAGTGCCTCGCTTTTATAGCAAAAATAGTTGTCCACAAATCGACACATTTTTGTTGAAGTTTACGTGCCGAAAAATAATCGGTTAAGGTTTTAGGGGCTATCTCTCTTGATCCACAACAATAGTCTATCTATACTAATCTATCTATTAAAACTTAAAAGGCGTTCCTAAAAATGTTTATGTGCCACGTATTACTCCACATCACAGTATCAACCTCGCATTCTACCACATCACCCAATCAACTAAGGCCCCATTATCTTCACCTTATTTATGCTGAACTGAAATTATTTTTACTAAAACAAAATTATATTTGCTAAACTTAACTTAAATTAATTTTACTAAATTGAAATTATTTTTGCTGAACTGAAATTATTTTTAACTAAATTTTTACTGTTTTTTTTTTATTATTATTTTATCTGATTTTTTTTTTAATTATTTTTACTGATTTTTCGGATTCGAAGAGTAGTTTTTGAGTGGTTATGTTTCATTCTCATCCTAATTGTTGTTACGGAGATCGTACAAAGATTCTCCCCACCAATTGTAATCCCAATCTCCAGTGCCCAACAACCAATTAATTAAACCTTGTCATTGTGGACTCAGCTATTATTCTATTCTACTCGAACGCAAGTCAACTCCAACTCCGGCAAAGGCCGCAATCATGGCTATAACACTAGCGTTGATCACAACATCCTCTTTATCAAACTCCATTTCCAAAACCTTCCCAAGCAACCTAAACAAATCCACCTTCTTCTCCACCTTCAATCCAAATCCCGCTCAAAAACCCAACAAAAATCATCAAATCTACCATAAATTATCACAACCCACAAAAATGGCTGAATTTCTGACTGCAAAATCATCTCCAACTGACCTAGTTGCTCCACTCTCAGGTGCAATCAACCTCGTCCAATCAAACCTTGCCACTTGGCAATCCGCCGTACTCTCCAATGTAGTCATCTTCGTTCTGGGTTCTCCGATTTTGGTCTCAGGACTTTCTATTTCCGGCATTGCTGCTGCTTTCTTGTTGGGTACTCTTACATGGCGCTCTTTTGGTCCTCCTGGTTTTCTTCTTGTTGCCACTTACTTTGTTTTTGTAAGTTTTTATTTTTCTTCTGTTTTAATTTAATCATCCCATTTCGAAATTTCAAATTAATTGGTTAAATTTTGGAATTTGGAATCATGGGTTCAATTTTTAGATTGATTTTCAGGTTTTGGGTGTTGTTGTAATTTATGTGTTTGGGTTATATAATGAAGATCTTGTTGTGTCTGCATTGATTGCCTTCTTAGTTTTTCAATATGATATGGTTGATGGTTGCTGATTTAATGCAAAAAATCGTGAATAGCATGTTTATTACTGCTAGATTTAGGATGAAATGCGTATATATTTTTATCAAGGTGAGGCGCCGAGGCATGGATGGAACTCGGGTTGTCTAGTGTTTCACCTGCATTTGTTTGTGATCGACTGGATTGTGACGCTTTTGAGTTGAAAATTATCAAATTTGGTAGGGTAGATAGTTTGATGGATAGCATTTGTTATTCTGCATGCTAACCTTTTGATCCTGAACAAATCAATGAAATAGCCCTGCTTGTAAGCAAAGAAGAATTATAGGATTTCAGTATACAATGATATGGATTGTCATTTGTATTCGATTTTGGGATTTGGAGTCTCCAGATGTCTGTCTCTCAAATAAATATAAGTCTTATTACTCGGTCCATAAGGTTCGTTTGAATCAGAAATCTGCATTGAGAGTTTATGATTTTGTACATACCTTTAGTCCCACCCTATCCTGGATTATAGATAGCATAACTATGCTTTTAATGCTTCAAAGATAAATGGATTTTGAGGTTATCAGTTCATGAACCATACTGAACGTGTTATCGTGTTCTGAGAGAATTGCGAACCATAATAGATTCATCTAATTCTCTATCACAACCTATCTAATTTAGCAGCTACATTCATTTGGTGAATTAAAATCCTCATGTGAACAAATTGATGAATGAAGATGCTGATGGATCCATTGGATTTTCCCTATCAAAACATCATTATTGTTTCCCCAAGCAGCTTTCCTGGTAGTGTTTCTCATGGCTGCTTTACATCAGAAGTCGGGATCACACCCTTCTGACATACAACTTCATTGCATCTAATTTAATTTCTTGTTTAATAATTAGCAGCTACAATGAGATAACATGCAACTTTAAGACAAGTAATTGCTGATCAGGACACTGAATTTTGGGTATAGGCAAATGCAAGTGAGTTCAAAATTTAAAATTTGGTTGGCCATGGAAGAATTATGTGTTCAGAGGTACTTTGGCAGGTATTCTTAATCAAGGGCTCAAGGCCATTCTTTGTCGCTCGGGTTAAGCCTAACTTTTGTCTTTAATAGATGGAAGGTTGTGCAAACTATACTATACGTCTATACTTATTGAAAACATGGTCTAAAAGATCTTTCATATTTTTGTTTTTACCCTTCAATGCAAGAATGTGATGGACTTATCAATATTTATGGGTGAAATCTATTGTGCTTAAATATGTAGGCTGTACCAGTGATACCATACTTGGCGATTTAACAAAGAGTTTCGATACAATTTCTTACAAATTCTTGTTGTTTGCCCTTTGATGCAAAGTTATTAGGGGTATATTAGCATCTCAAATTTCATATCCTGCTAGTAGGTCATTGGTACTGTGCACAAGTAGTTCGTTATATAATTATCTTCATTAGCTTTGTTGTGGGATAGAATGAAATCGACGGTGTTTGTTTCCTACTACAATTTCTTTTAGTAGATTTCATTGGAAATTCTAGGATTACACAAACTGGTGGACTTTCTTAACATAATTTCCCCAACGTTCCTCCTCCCTCTCACTTTAGCATCAATTATTCATTGTTTCTGGGGCCATGACTCATGTATAATATAAAGAATCGTTTAGCTGTGTGATGGATTTTTAAAGTGGCATTCAATTTAGTCAATAATTCCACCAACTTTGACTTTGGATATCCAAACTTGATAGTTTATAAGAAAACAGATGAAGGTCCTCTGGAGAGTGGAGAGGGACATTTCACAATTTACATTTCTTTCTCATTCGTATTTTTCCACTTCGGGAATTTCCTTTACATTGTTTAAGGTTTTTGGAAAATAGTAGGACCTACTATAGGCATGGACTAATGTTCTTTGGAAGAAATGGGCAGTTTTGTCTGGGGGTGTGGATTAGGGAGGATGAAAAAGACATAAATTCATTAAATTTAAGAGCTTTGCTGTGTCATGTTCGCTATCTTAATTTCTGATTGAAAGGATTTTTTTTCTTATATTCTTTCCTTCCCACATATTTTGAGATTTATAATGTAACCTACATTAGGGAACTTTAGCAACCAAGGTCAAGATGGCACAGAAGGAAGCTGAAGGGGTTGCAGAAAAGAAGAAAGGAAGAAGAGGGCCAGGTAGTGTAATTGGTTCTAGTGCAGCTGGTTGTGTTTGTGCTATTCTTTCGATATATGGAATAGGAGGGAAGGAACTTTCTCAGCTTTGGAAACTTGGCTTTGTTGCCAGCTTCTGCACTAAGCTGAGTGATACCGTCTCTAGTGAGATAGGGAAGGCATATGGCAAAACAACGTAAGTATTTTATTCTGTATACATCAATTATCTTTTTATTTTTATTTTTTGGACTCAATTAATATACAACAGTTTATGTGTAAACTTGGTTTGCTTCAGTCTGCTGGAATGCTGGTGTTATTGTATAAGATGTTTTCTGATGGCTTGGGAAAGCTGGTGCTTTTTATAAGATGTTTTCTGATGGCTTGAGATTCACATTCAACGCCTATTAATGCCCCTGATTTTTCCAGAATATAATACCATGGCTTTGTCAATAAAGAAATACTTATACTCACAATTGTAGGAAGATAATAAACACATTGAATTCTTTTTAAAAGAAGCTATGGTAATTGACAAATAGTCACTATTCCAAGTCAGGCATGCACAATTTCCTTTCTCTGTAAAAAAATAAATGAATACACACTGAACTTTCAAGTAGGATTCAGGCATAAAAGAGTAGATATCCTAAACGTCCTAAAAGATATGAAGCATTCCTAGATCGTTAAACAAAATTATGTTGAGCACCACTACTTAGAAACATACCTTTCTTCAGAATATAGGACATCTAGTGACAACATATTATTGAACTGAAGTTAGAATAATGTCAAATACTTTAATGGCGTAATGTGCTCAGCTGTTCACAGTATCACATTGGGTCACTAAACTAATTTGACACCGATTGCTATAGACTAACATTATGGTTTATAACATGACCATTTAAATTACAGACATGGAAGAGAATGTAGATCACAGTTACTCCTACATGTCGTTTAATTGACCTATATTATTTTTTATTATTAAATGAGAATGTCTAAAGTCATCAAGCGGAGTTCATAATTTCAGATTATAGGTACATTTCGTTCAAACCAATATTTTAAGAAAATATTTAGTATCAAGAGCTATATAACCGTATAATTTTATCTGAATTTACAAAGGTTTTAGTTCTCTCCTGACCCATAAGTCATAGATGGGAATAAAGAGAAATGGAAAGAGACTTAATTATAGATGATCTATAGTTAAGTGGTGAGCTATTTTTAGATTCAATTACAAACCAAATATATATGTTATTCTCTCTCTTTTTTTTTTAGCCAGAAAATCTGTTTGGGTTCTTAATCTTTTTTATATTCACTATTGATTCTTAGGATATTAGGTGTTTTACAGGCTTTTTCTTTTCAACTTGCTCCATACTTCGTAGATGATTAAGCTCTTGCAAAATTAATATACTTCAGTTAAAATAAGTTTATGTTAGCAAATTAGTGTTCAAACAAAAATAAGTATTAAATATAGCAAAACAATTTCATTAGAAATCAGTAAGCTGTTTATTTGTACGTGGAGTTCTAATGAAAGAGATTTGTAATACCAATCACCGAATAATATTATTGTCATTTGGATATAATTGTTTACAAATTTACCTTTACAATTTGATGTAATCATAATGTGTGAGTTTTAAGTTTTCTAAATACTAACCCAGTGTATATGAGCAGGTATCTGGTCACTACATTCAAAGTTGTTTCTAGAGGGACAGAAGGTGCTGTAAGTGTTGAGGGAACCATTGCTGGGCTTCTAGCTTCAATTTTGCTTGCCATTGTTGGTTGTCTTAATGGCCAGGTTCTCCTTTCTACTTTAATTAAGCTAGACGCTTACTATAGATAACTGTGTTTAAAGTATTACACGATAATTTGCTTTTACAAGGCTTGCCTACATAAGGATAGCAACTTTCCACAAGGGCAAGATTTTCCCATTAACGTTTAATCTATTATGTGTGCACCATATAAGATTCAGAAAATTTTATCCTTAATTTCTCTCCAATAGATATGACTTTGACTAAAGTAAATCAAATTCATGTCCGAGCCATGCTCAACGAATTCCAGTGGGGAGGGAGACTATGATGAGTTCTTTTTACCCTTCATGGCTGCTAAGAATTTGGCTGTGTAATTGGACACTGTCATTATCGATTAAGAGGGGCTGTGTGGGGAGCTTCAAATTTGAGCACCTGTATTGGGTGTAACTTAATGAGTGAGAAGTGTATGCTTTAAAATGAAACCCTTGCTTATGAACTACAACTACACAAATTTGAGGTGATGGCAGATAAGTAGGGAGAGTGTTTCCTTGTTTTTTTGTTAAGAAGTGCTTTGATTATATATTAGTGATCATCATTATCGATTTTGTTCTTATTTACTGCCTCTGCTTTACTCAGTTTCATTTTGACACTATTCACACACTCTTTTGACTATGTGATTTATACGTAATAAAAAATAGACTCGTCTCGATACATATCATCAAAGTAAACTTTTTTTAATAATTATTATTTATAGTTTATTATTGATGCTTATTGTCAAAGTTGTGTTGACAGGCATGAAATAAACTGAAGTGGGAGAGAAAGGGGGGGGGGGGGGGGGATTAATTTGACATTGTATAATTATTAAGTTTCTTGTTTCAGTTCACAATATCTTTGAGAATTCATGTGTTTACCAATCATTTTTGTGGTTGTGGATGTAGTCTAGAAAATGAAAGGAGCTATTGAGAACTAATTGTGTTTAAAATTGCCTGCAAAAGCAGACTTCTGATATTTCATTGTTTCTGATGTCTTCATTACTTATCTAACTAATTGTTGGTTACAAATTAACTTAAGATTTCCTCCATCCCATCTATGAATTTGCTCGTACTATTATACAGTGTCTCAAAGTAAACTTCTGCTTAAGTTCCAAGGCAAAACTTTAAAGTATCATTCTACCTGTTTCTTTCCCCATCCCATAAAAATCATTTTCTCTCCATTCCAACACACTATTCTTTTCCCTTTTTCCCTCTTTGTTAACTACCAATTTTTTTATATCGAATATAACACTATTAAATATCTCTATTCCTAAAAGTGAAGAATTTTATGCGATGGAGCAAATATATAAGATCAGTATAACTTGAATTTTGATTGAGCTTTTCAATTGGTTAATTGATGCTCTTGTTTTCTTGGAAGCAGATAAATTTAACTGGAGCAGTTGTCTGCATATTAGCCTCTCAGATTGCTAATTTCAGTGAAAGTATAATTGGTGCTTTGTTTCAAGAGAAGGAAGGATTTCAATGGGTAAGCTTCCAATTTAGGCTCTGTGTTAGTTTTATGCTATTCCTTGAGTTCTTATGTTTCCAGATTTTACAACGGGTTACAAATTCAATTTGGTCCTGTGCTAGAAGGGGATGAAGCCAGCTGTTGATTAAATTAACCCGAAATATCTCATACCTGTTAGAACTTCCGTTTTTGCAGCTTAACAATGATGCTGTCAACATCATTAATATATCCATGGGTAGCATCTTGGCAATCCTGTTTCAACAAGTTCTGAATCGTAGCTGGCTCTGGTTAATATACTTAACCCTCAATCTAGCTTGACTGCAGTGTTATCTTACAGTAATATTAGATACATTTGATGATGATTTTATGCTTCAGTCATTCAGAAAATTAACTAAAGTGAAATACATGTCTCTGGTGAACAGAATGATTTTAAGGAGAGAAAAATAGGTGACATCAATGTCTAGAGATGGAGATGTGTAGATCGAACATTTCTTGAAGATGGAAGAAATCCAACCGATCCAGGTACAGTTTGGAAAATCCTCATTTCTATTGATAATCAAGAGAGATGAAGTACAAACTATACTTGAAAACGCCAATTCCCTTGTTTTTGCCTCACTATGATAACATTTTCAGTGCAGAGGTTCAAAATGACGGAACAGACTCATGAATACTCAATCCAATACAAATGGGAAGCATAGAGTTCTCACAATGTGTGCATTGGGGAAATATAGTGACTGATAATCACTTTGTATGTGTTTCTTCATAAACTAATGTCATGTTGAGTGCAAAGCAAGTCCAATGCCAACTTAGCTGTCTAGTTATATAGCTTGTACGTATAAACATCACTAAATTTTTATTGGCATCGGTATATGAGTTTATTTTGTTTATTGTATGCTCAACGATGTTCATCGGACACAAATATTCTCTTGATTGATGGATCATTCCTCTTTGATAACGATTATATACTCTGTATGAGGATAAAGAGCGAAGCATATCTGAAATATTGAACTCAAGTATTGGATGGTTAACTTGAGGGAATACAACTTTTAAGGTACTTAGAAAAGAGCCTAGACCAGGTGGGGTAATTGCATCGCTTTCCACCCCATATCCCCATGGTTTAGGAATTAAATTGTTTGAGGGGTTTTTGTAGTCGTTTTCCTCAACTGGATCCCCTTTTCCTTATCTTAATCATCATATGTTATGTGAGTAGGTTAGACAGGTGAAAGACAATTAAATAATCATATAGAACATATGAAACATATAACCATACATAATTAAAAAAATAATGTTAATTAAAATCTTTCATCGGTGTATAATACTCTCTCAGTCCCCGATTGATAGTCACTTTTGCTATTTTTGGTGACTCAAAATGTTAGTCACATTTGCTTTTTTCAAGTACCATTAATATTATTTTTTTTTACCAAAATTCTCTAACATTTGCAAAAATATTTGTGTAAATTTAACTTTTTCATGTAAATTTTTACTTTTTCATGTACTTTAATTACTCTCTCTCTGTTTTTTTTTTTTTTTTTTTTTTTTTTTTTTGCATACCCAATGTAAATTTACTTTTTCAATGTACTTTCTTTATTTCTCATTAATTCCCGTGATTTTTTTAGCAAAAGTGACTATCAATCGGGGATGGAGGGAGTACGTGATTTGAACCTTCAATGGACCTTGAAATGTACAAGGATGGTAGTACTATGGCTTAGGAATAAGATTCATAAAGGAATTAGCTAAAATCTCGATCTTTACTTTCACAAAACGCTCCAACTAATTTACAAGCAAGGAAGATAGAAAGAAACTAGTTCAGTTTGATGGACTGGATAGCCTAGGGCATACTAGAGCTTCCAAGTTAAGGTGATCAAAGTCCTTGCAACAGGGCAGTGAATATACAGATGGACAAATGGTAATAGATGTTGAAACCGGAACAAAGAAGAATATGGACTAGAGTACATCATGATTAATTTAAATTAATTATGGATAACAAACTATGTAACTGTCAATCAATTTTATTTTCAAGTACATGTGTAACTTGGTTAAGTTCGTAACATAATCCTCATCCCTAAATCACAAATTATTTGATCAAGACCATATGAAACTCAACGATCTCATGGCTTGTTTGAAACTTTAATGGAGCAATGTCCTTTTCTTTGCTGTTGCCTTTGATTTGTCCTCTATTAGAGATCTATTAGTAGTTTACAAGTGCTTAAAACTGTGCTCCGAAGGAGTGTAACGAGCTCACCAGAGGAAGTTATAAACGGGTTCATAACAGAAATTGCAACAAGAAACTGCTATCGATATATAAAGCTATTTTTTTAAAAAAAATAAATAAATTACAGTGTATATATTAGAAAGAAATTACAGGACAACCTATAACTTGTTTCTCACAAAGATGTCATTGCATGTCCAAAACTTTCGAGGAAAATATGGACCAAGGTAATAACTCCGTGAGGATAAAGAATGTAACAGCAACATTACAACAGCCTCACACTGCAAAATTATAGACCAGCCAAACTAACAGACATTGCAACTTCTTCGACAGTAACCTGGAAGCTGAGCAGTTCCCACCATATATTCCGGGTTCCTAGTGCACTCACCAAGCGCAGCCCATCTCTCACAATTTTGATTGCGATCACTACAACCATCCGTGAGGATTTTGTCAAAATTATCAACATGAATCCACTTGGTGGCAGACCATTTCTCACCCTCAATCACAGGACAGCCTCCGTGGAGACTCATCTGGTCAGGTACAGCATTTGGAGACAGACTGAAGAACAAAAGAGCATCCCCTTTCTTTGGTTTCACTGATTAAATTTGAAAATATTCATAAGATAGGGCAAGAATAATCCCAGAAATAACATTCTTAGTAAGATGTTAGGAGCATACCTGCAATGCCTTTCTTTCCACACTCAGACAAATCATCATTTGCTGCAATAGCTGCCTTTTGACGTTCTGACAACTGTCCATAGTAGTAACAAGTCAAAATTAAATACATATTAAGTCAATAATTTACAGCCCAAAAATAATCTCTTAAAACCAGACCCTGGCTCATTGAAACAGAACTTGTCAATTTTACTACAATTCTACAATTTACACTTCTCAAGAAAAGAAAATGCTGCGCACAAACTTTACAGTAAGTAATAAGCACAAATAGAGGGCTTGAAACATTGCATAACATTAAAAACCTGTAAGAAAGCTTGTAGTGCATTTATTACAGAAAGTAAAGATCAACTAACCTCTGCATGTGGAAACACAGTCTCACCGCCTTTCATAACATCTGATAGATACATAAGAACGGTTGCATAACGATGGCCACCACGAGCAATGTTAACTTTATCAACAAAGTAATCATAGTGAGCCTCATACTTCTGTCCTTCCTCGTATCTAAGAACTTGTATGTCCTCGCCATTCTCTAAGAATTTGAAAGGGGGAAAATAGGTACCTTAGTTGCTTTTAATTATTATATCTAATGCAAAGACACAGACAGATAAACACGAAGCCCAAATTTGAAAAAGATTTTCAACTCAAGCAAACATGCAATCACATTTTATTTGTATCATCAAGTCTCAGTAAGTAACTAAATTCAACTTATGAAACCTAGATACGAAGCACCATTGAGAAATGATGAGACAGCTGATGCCATAAGATTTAATTCCAATAAGCATGCCTAGACAATACCAAAACATGTTGAGACTTGGGTGACAATTTATATGAAGACTGAAGAGGTGACTTCTATGTATTATGAGTGATCCTAGTGAAGGCGTATGCAGTGACTTATAAGGGGATGGGAGTGACGTTAAAAGGATACAAGATGACTTCCACCATCCTTTGTACAAATCTGATCTACATGAAAATTTGTTCTTTGAACATTATATCAACAACCACTTAAAAAATTCCAGTGTGACTTCTGATATTAGGCTCCATTTGTTTTGACTTGAAAACAATTTCTGGGAAAATGAATTACCATTATCCATTTGTTCAATATATAAAAGGTGGAAATTAATCTTTCCAAAGGTGGAAAATAGTTTTCTCAAAATCATATATTTTTTCTTTTAAAAAGAGGTGAAACCACATTTTTTCCCTTTCTACTCTTATCAGCCATTTCCTCTCCTCTCTAATAAGAGACATTTATGTCACACATAGCTAGTGATTAGGAAATAGTGAGAGTTAATTATCCGCTAAATTTTCGGGCCTTTATTTCCCTTAGGTCATTTATTTTTAATTTCTAAATTAAGTTGCTGAAGTGATTTTTTTTTTTTTTTAATTTTTTTTTTTTTTAGTCTTATCTTATTACTACCTCCGTTTCATATTATTTACACCGATTTGACATAAAGTAGAGGAAAAAAATGTCCAATCGTTGCAGATAATATGAAACGGAGATAGTATATTGTTTGGTTTTCATGAATTTTACGATTTGTAGCCTTAATAAGTTTAGGTGTTTAACTAGTTGCGCATTGTTGATTATCGTTTCTTTCATCTAATTTTTTCTATTTATTTATGTAAATTTTATGGAGTAATTTTCCACATTTAAATTGCTTGAATCGTCTCTCATCTTTATTCACTTTGTTCATTTTATTTTATTAATGTTTTATTCTGTTCTCCCTTGGTTCTATCTGCTTGTGTAGGTGAGTGTTTGAAGGGTTGAGTCAACGATATCATCGATCAAGAAACTCAAGCTCATCAAATTGGAGAACATATGCTTGCAAAAGAGCTTAAAATGCGCTTTACTTTGCCAATTGTAAACAAGCAACTTCTAGACTTCACCAACATTCTACCTTCTGCAGCAACATGCCACCCAACCCTTTCTGTTAGGCTACGTCCTAACAGCCCCTGCCTCTATCTCTCTCGTCGCCACTCACCACACATTACAGAAACAGCAGCTAGCAAGCAAACTGAGTGCTGCCCCACCTCATTGTTGCACTAACCTACACCACTGCCCCAATCCAATTTAACTCACTCGACTCACAGCCCTTGAACTCCCCCCCCCCTGCTGCCAGTCAGGCCACAGCACCCCACAAAACGCTGCACCAACAACACTCATGCTTCTCCCTCAAATGCACAGGCCCTCTGCACTCTGTCCTTGCTGTCCACATACACAACAAAAGCCGTAGCACGTCTCGCCCCAGTCCTTGCTACCATCCAGTCATACCAACCACACAGCAAAGCAGTGCAGCACCAACACACAACATTACACATCTCACACCCAAAACCCACAGAACCTGCCTCCCTCAACTCACACAGCAATTCACACACCACACATGTATACAACAGCTTACCACTCGCCAACACCCTTATCTTCCATGCAGCACTCCCTGCTTCCCACCTCGCCAACAACACACACAATGCAGCAACCATGCAAGTTTGCACTCTCATCCATCTTCTCCCGGTCTCCCCTTCTATTGCCACTTTCCTCTTCCTCTATAACTTCCCTTGTAAGGAAACAAAATAAACTTTCCCCAAACATGTTTTTTATCTAAACACATGAAACTTTAGTCCATACAAGGGGGATTACTGATGAACCCTTCTAATTAACCTACCCCCCCCCCCTGCCCCTCTCCCCTGGCTAGAGATGGCCATGGATCGGAGGTGGGTCGGTGATGCTTCATCCACCTCCATCCACCAACGATCCATCCATCACCCGACTCATCCATCACCTGATTTTTCTACATCCACATCCAATCCATCCGTCATCTATGGATGAATCGGGTGATTATTCGAGTGAAATAAATATATAAATACAATTTTGCACTTTCATGATTAAAATCTAGATTTAAAAAAAAAAAGTGATTAATTTATTAAAACTTTGATTCATCCTTCTAATACTTGTTCCTTTTAACAAATGTCAATTCCTAACATTACAATAGACATTAAATTATTAAAAAAGATATTTTTTTTTTTATATATATATAAATTTAACGGGTGGATGGATGGGTCGGGTGATGGGTTGGATGTATCATCATC